ATATATATATATATGACACAATTTACTCAATTCATGGTTGATTCGTATTTTATGTTTGTGAAAATATATTACCATTAAATAACTGCGTATTGATTTTTAAAAGTTTATTTTATTTATAAAACAATAACAATAATAACAAAGCGATCATGCAAGAAAAAGGCTTCAAAAAATAGGTGGTAACATTTATGTGGTTCCACCAAATCCTCTCTCATTGTCTTATTAGTATCTTTCATGATTGGTTGTTTCCATGTGACCATGCTTCCTCAAAACATATATGATGCTGAAATTTATCATAAAAAATAGGATTTAAAAGTGTAATATATTTTTTGATTTGTACATATTTAGTTATTAATTTTTTTCGTTCATATTTACCCTTTCAACTTATTAAACTGTACACATTCAGTCCTTATGACCGGTTACTCAAAGTTAGCCGGGAAAATAACTTAATAGGGTAATATATTTTTCATTTTGTACACATTTACTCCTTAATATTTTTGTAAATATTTAGTCCTTAATATTTTTTTGTTTTCAAAATAAAGCATTTTTGTTTTTGTACTCAGTAGTTATGAATGATTTTGTTTAGGTTTTTCTCACGACATCTTACGTGGGACAATTATTGTTGAAGTGTGTGCGACTGTTGATATTTATGTGTAACGTCTTATTTTCACAATACAAAATTTTTATTTTTAAATAAGGCAAAACTCCTTAATTATAAATCCATTATTAAGGAAAAACGTTTATTCCAAAATTTATCGAAAATAAGAGTAATATAAGAAACGGGTAATCCTCAATACTGTTGATGAGTGTATACAATCATACATTTGTCTTCCCACGATCAACGATAGAACCTAAAAACATAAACAACTGGGTAAACATAAAGTTTAGTAAGTTTCCCCTAAAATACCTGATACAACAAACGTATTATCATGCATAACGAACCCCACACTCATCAGATTGGAATACATTGACTCAATCAATCATTCGACTGGAATGCCAACACACAACAGAGTCAATCAGTCATCGGACTGGAATACCGAGGGTTTGTCGGCATGTCGCTTTAACCCAACTGTTCTTCTCGAGCCTTCGTGCCTGCAGCTTACAGCCGATCCACACCAGGTATCTTGGCCTACAACATATAACAAGACTATCTTAACATGTCTCATCACCATATGACTACCCCACTTAAGATGTGAGAAAAACCTAAAGAAATCATTTATAAGTGTTAAATAAGTACAAAAACAATAATTACTTATTTTGCAACAAAAAAATATTAAGAACTAAATATGTACAAAAATATTAAGGACTAAATGTGTACAAAGTGAGAAATATATTACCTATTAAATTTTTTTTACCGGCTAACTTGGAGTAGCCGGTTATAATAACTAAATGTGTACAGTTTAACAAGTTGAATGGTAATGTGGACGAAAAAAAAAATCAATTATTAAATGTGTACAAATCAGAATATATATTACCCTTTTAAGTGATTATCCTGAAAAATATTTACTATTTTAATTTTATTGGTACTAGTTGCTTGTCTAAAATTCCTATGACGAGTGAATATATAACTTATCCAACCGTTTGTGAACCATAATAAACTAAATCACATACAAAATAAACTAAATTAATAAAAAATATAGATTTTCTTAAACACATTGACTGATTGTTGTTAAAAGCTTTTAAGAAAAATTCGCTATTTAAAAAATGGCTATATTTTGATTTGTTTTTTAAAAAAAAAAAATGAACTGAATTGTAAATTTATCTGATTTGAAAAATTTTCTTTTACTTGACCATTATTAATAAATTTATGATTCAATTATCAATATGTTATTATTAAACATATGTATAATTAGTCTATTTAGTTGACTAGCGATCAATTATTATGAATATCAATATCAATTCAATAAATAAGTTGATAGATTTACGACAATCATCTTTATAAATATAGAAACTCCACAATAACTAAAAAGAGATTCTAAATCATTGATTTTGATAAAAAAAAAAAAAAAAAAAAAAAAAAAAAAAAAAAAAAAAAAAAAAAAAAAAAAAATTCTAGTATAATTTAGGAATAGTTTATTATATATTTGTATTTACGTTAAAAAAAAAATCATTGATTTCGATAAATAGGATTTACGTACTTCCTTAGTTGTTTAACCCCTTTAAAATTGATCAAGATTTAGCATCTACAATGTATCAGAGGTGTAATGTTTATTTGGAGTTTGATAACTCAACCATACAAAGATGTTAGACGCCCTTCCTTGAATATTGAGTTTAATAGGAAAAAGAAAATGTTTTAATGTAAAATACATCTTTCATTGAACTTTTGTACATTTCACAAGATGTTATATGCCTTTCCTTGAATATTGAGTTTAATAGGAAAAAGAAAATTTTTAATGTTTAAAATAAATCTTTCCTTGAACTTTTGTACATTTCAATTTATTTTAGGAAAAAAAAATTATATCACATACATGAAAAATACATTGATAATATGACCACCCATAAACTTTATAAAACTCAATACATTTTAATATCAAAACATTGACTAGTAACACTTATATTTACCAATTGAAGCCCCCGAGGTGAGAAGTGAGAACCTTATGGTTGAGATATAAAATTTCATACAAAAGTCCATGCTTCAAGTCGCTAATGGTATGAGATTTACCATTTTTGTTATATTTTCCACAAATCAACACATATGCTAAAATCCCCATATATGCAATATTACATAAAGAAATAAATACTAACAATTTGCGAATTCAATGACAAAATTAATTACCATATAAAAGTGGACCCCCAATCTATGATTAATAACCAACATGTGACATGCTCTGAAAAAAGTAAATGTTTGAGACCCAAAACAATCCTTCCTAAACATACCTTTCAAGTTTTGGGCCATCATTTTCTTGCATTGTTGTCATTGTTAAAAATTAGTAATAAGTACATAATATGCATCTTAAGTGACAACATCATGTGCCCTCTTCATACCACAACCCATTGTTCACATGTCTTATTTGGGTATGGTTTCATATACATAAATACTTTTAAGAAAAAAAACATAGTTTTGATCACACAGAAACGTTATACGTCCATCTCATGAAGAATGTCATTTTCTGTAAGAGAATGTCTTTGGTGTTAGGACCACCCACTTGCAGAAGTAGTAAACTATTCTGAGGTAGAGGTGGTAACTATTTTCTACCACGGGAAAATTTACAATTCATAACTAAAAGCATTATGGTATGTGATTGAAATTGATTATGCGTTGAGATGATATAGTCTTGTTTTGTTAGAAAAATAAATTCTAACTATAATTTGAAGTCTTAAACGTGTGTAAAGATGTTAAAAGGCAGAAAAGACAAACTGTGGTTGCTAAAAGTATAATAGCTAAAATTATATTAAGGTTGTGTATAATCGCTCATTGTTAATAGTCATTAGGAATGATAGGGAGAGATACTTTAAATACTTTGAACCTTCTCCATTTGTAGAAATGAAGGACCAAACAAAATGAAACGTACCAAAACTCATAGCATTTTTTTTTTTTCATTTTTAAAACAAAATCATTCATTTTATTTCATCAAAAGATCATTAAAGTATCAAAAGTAGTTCCAAATAAACATCAGAGTATCATAAACCAAAGGTGCAGAATATCTAGCTGATGCGATGCAATCATGTCAGACCTTCTCTTTACTACAAAAAGTAGCTAAAACGATTAAACTTAAAACTGTAAGCATAAAGTTTAGTGAGTTCTCCAAAATATCACATACCATATAAATAACGATATATTTCAGAGAACGGGCCCGACTGTTGGTCTATTTCAACCAACGGCCTATTTCAGCCATGTGAATGCTATGATCTAACCATAGTTTTACCGCCACTCCCTTTGCTACAGCCTTGCTGTAATCTTTCCTGTCATTATCCAACCATGATTTTTCATGCAAGTCACAAAGACAAAGAAACATACAATGATAATTAGTGTCCTACATAATATAGTAAGAAGACCCACCTCTCTATCGAGATATATTATAACACAGCTCATGCAATCGCAACGCTGTTGCTACACACAACCTAAGGAAAAACAAAAGGTCAAACCTTAGTCTATCATCTAAAACTAAGAAATAGGAAAAAGTAAACCTGATCAAAAGTTAACGGCCAATGGTCAATGGTCAGCTACTGCACCGTAGCCTACCACTAACCGTGTCGTAGCATCCACACGACAAAATAAACGCGGGTGAAACCCGACACTGCGTCATGGTGAGCTACCCATGACATATAGGAGACTGGCCAAAACAACTTAATTGATTAAGCTACTAATCGGTTAAGCCTGACACTCATACTTTCTAGAAACCTTCTAAGCACTCAACGATCCATAAAAAATATTTCTTATAGAGATGCATGCCAATGCATGTCACACCCTAAGTTATGTCAAAATGGTGGGAAATGGGCCCAAAACCCCATTCATGACACCTAATCAACATAAAAGTGCAGATCTGGAATATATAAGAATAAAGGGACCTCAAAGATCCATAAAGTTGCTAACTTTATTGAAACCTTTCACTCAAATCTTCCAAACAAGAAGAGTTAGCCATAAATCATATATCTAAAATCAAACAACCATGAAGATTGAGTCTTAGAGGCTTATAAGGGTACATGATATGCTCAAAGGGGTTGGGATGATTCTTGCTTCATGATCTTTTGCTCCACAGTTCCTATTTCTCCCTTCAAATGACCAAAAACACCTAAAAGGAACTCAAGAATGGATGCA